AAAAAAAAAAAAAAAAAAAAAAGCACAAACGAATTAAGAAGAATAAAAGATCATTTTTCCTCACTTGCCAAAGGCAACGACTGCAATTCGAGGTGTTCGTAGACCATGAATTAGAGGCCTGAGCGATTCTCTGGCCTGGGTGAAAACTGGCACCTCCGGGACTGTGCTGGACTTCGTCACTACCTAACCCTTTCCGCAAAAGAACTGAAGTTGATTTCAGGAGAAAGACTGCACAGGGTACATCTGGAAGGGTTTCTGTGTAACCCTAAGACGTGGCCAGGATTGAGAGCCAGGGAACTCGAGGGAGTGGCATTTAAAAACTTTTGTTATTATCAAAAGTAAGTTGTTATTTTAATACATAGAATACAATACAGGAGACTATGGGTGAGGGTGAGCAATAGAGCACTTGCCTGAGTTTGATTCCCAGCACTATAAACAAAACAATGAATAATAGGACGCCTGTGATATTAATAATGTGTGAATTCTTTTAATAGCAGGCATAATTAAAAGACCCAATTCTATGGAAGAGAAGATTATAAGTTAATTTAATGAATCTTTCCTTGCAGTTTTCCTAATTGGTTGGAACTTCTTAATTTAAGATCACTGCTAAAGTACTAGGTGTACATTTTATTTATTTAAACCTCCTTTCATTCCATAAAGATCTGATGGAGAATTGAAAACCTGGCATTGCGAACAGCAAAGTGTGGAGGGTTATGATTTTCTATTTCCTCAGAATGTTCTTGGTTTTATGAAAGAGAAGACACAGAGAATCTTTTTTTACTTTTAAAGCAGAGGCCCTACATTCTCCAAATCTCAAAACCTTGAGGGACTTCACAGTACACTCTTTAAATGTAATGGCTTAGCTACAAAACATCAAGTAATGTCATTCTTTGCCTAGGAGCACATTTTTATACCCTGCAGAGTGTTGTCTTACTTTTCACTATTATAGCCCTGGAGGTTTTGAGGAATACAGTAAAATATATTTATATTACATAAAATTTGTAATTTAATTTCCATGCCAAACCAAACATTTCCTCATTATTTGCCTCAATATTAGTTTCAAAAATACTTGATACATGCAAGCCTTCCTTGGCTTTTTGGCTTCATTTTTCTCCCTTTGTTTCTTTTATTCCGTGTCTTTGGCCGCAGCTCTCCATGTTTGTATGCCCGCCTCAGAGTCTTAGTGTCCAGGACTATGCATCTGACGATAGTTTCTCTACATTTCCAGGATACTTTCATTGCTGACATACTTTGCTGTTGCTTTTCTATATGCTTGTTCGTTGCTTCGTTTATGTCTATTAACATTCCTCCAAGAAAGGCAGGTAGGCGTTGTTACATCATGTACAGATGAGACATCTGAGGCTCAGAAAAATGAAAAGTCCTATTCAAAATTAACTCACGACAGGCTCAGCAATAAAGTTCAGGTTTTTTTAAACACATCCAGTTTATTTCCACAAAAATGTCCAAAGCTCTCCTTTTCTTCTTTACCCAAATCTTCATGCATTCATTCAGTAAAATTATTGAACGTCTACCACCTGCCACATACTTACAAGGCACAGTACTGGGGCAATAGCAGAGAACAAGATAAATAGATTTCCTGCGCTGGGCACTGACAGCAGCTGAAAATACTCCAATAAGTGCAATTAACCGGGCACTTTCTGTGTTGGTCTTCATACCCTAAAGTCACAAGCAAGTTAGGTGGTGTTTGCACCTCCATAGTGCCGATGAAATACTGAGGCATAGAAAGATTTAAAATCTCTTAATGTAATGTCTGTGGCTAGAGTCCTCACTAAGGTTGGCTTTGGGTCAGTATGTGCATGGTCTCAGAAAACAACCCACAGGTTAGCAAGGTGTTGTAATATATGTTGTGAGGAGCTGGTTGCGAAGGGTTGAGAGGGAGCACAGAACCCTGAGCCTGCCCGCCAGGAGAACTCAGTCTTACTAACACATCACAGGGCACAAAAAGCGAAACTTTTACCTCTCAATAACGGAG